TTCTTTTGATTCTTTTGATTTGCTTATAGGTTTTTATTGTTTCAGTTGGCCTTGTTGTTTAACAAGATCTAATGGATAGGGTTCAGCTTGGCCTTGTTGCAAATGTTCTAAGATTCCTATCTAAATGTCACTTAACAAAGTTTGTGCATGGTATTTAAGAATAATAAAATGCAATAAAATAGTAAAAATTAAGTTAAATAAATAAAAATTAACACAAAATTTAATCTAACAACAAAATATGAATACGGATTTGCCATCCAGACTGCACATGAGCTGGGTTGGCTCAACTGCACCAGTGGGCTGGGCTTGATCTGAACCTGTTGGAATGGCCAACCCAAATTGGTAGGGTAAGCCTAACACAATTTTATGTCCCCTTAAGCACTTGTGTGTGTAACTTCAATTTTGCCTCACGATCCTTTTCAGAAATTTCTGATCTTGATTTGTTTTATGATAATCTGGTCTAGTAATGGCTCTTACATATTACATAATATAACAATTTAAACTATTTTTCTTACATATTAAATCCTATTACAGCACAAGGAAAATATATTCATCCTAAAAGAGACAATTAACCAATCTGCTTATCTCTTCCCTTCATGAAATTCAAAAAAAAATAAAAACAAGAAAAAGAAAAAGGAAAGAAGAGAAGAAACAAAAGCCTAATAACAATTGAAGGCATGAATGAATATCAGCAAATCAAATACAATCAATCAGTCACAAAATGAAATGAATACAATTCTTCCCAAAGAGAAAAGAAAATGAAATGAATATAATTGAATAATATACTTTCATCAGTTTCTACACAGATGAAATTCAAAAGAGATCTAGAATTAGAAAGGATATCATCGTGCCAGTGATAACAACAGTCTTGTCTACACCTGGAAGGGCCATGGCCAGTCATTCATGTCCTCCCCCTGATGAACCTTTGCACTCCTCTTCACCGAACCACCATTTCCACCTTCTCCTTCAACATAAGCATAGTACCTCAACGCAAACGCCAGAGATAAGACCACCCATTCCAAGCAGAAGATCAACACGCAGAGCCCACCTGCCAGTCTCAAGATCATCACTCCATCTTCTTCTCTAACATAAGATTTCAAATCCCCCAAGAACTCCCCGCTTCTTGTAAAGATGAGTACCGACACAGAGCCTTGAAATATGGCCGTGAGGACTGTTGCCACCATGTGGGCTGCGTACCATCGGCTGGTCCCTTCTGATGCCGCTGCGCAGCCGGAGATAGCCCCTGCTATGGTGAAGATGTGGAGGAGAATGAGGAGGAACCCACATAGCGATGGTACGAGCCGGAGGGAGAGGGTCAGAAAGATGCAACTGGAAGCTGCTCCAAGAAGGATGTAATTGCACAGAAGGAAGACCTTGTGAGTGTGGTAGTGTGATTGACCGGTGGACGAAGACCCGCTGTCGATAGCCAACCCCATGTCGGAATTGAGTCCGGCCTGCAACAGGTTTATGGTTATTGAGCGGTTGAGTACCTGTGAAGGATTTCTATGCAAAGGCCGAGAAGTAGCGTCAGAAATTCGGAAATTGGGTGTCAAGAAATTCGATGGGAAGCCACGGGAAGGAATTTTCCGGCGATAGGTTGATGGGTTAGAGCGGTTTTCAAGTGAACTCTGAGGCAATGCTTCCTGAATCCCGAGTGAGGGGATGTGTGGGGCAACGGTCATATTTAGAGTTTGAGAGCAGCGAAAATATGACCGTTGAAGGGAGCAACGTTATGCAACGACTAGTTTAATGGGGTTCCGTGGGGGACTGGTTCGTGATCTGCTCCTCACAGAGCGCGCCTCGCACTGACCTCACAGAAGCACGTATCAGCCGTGCACCTGAAATATCTCGTACTTGTAAACTTTTAATTCTGGGGAGATGTTCCAGATGCACACACAGCTGAAACGTGTTGTGAGATCGGTGTGAGACGCGTCATGTAAGGAGCAGATCCGATCTCGTGGGTGATTATGTTCAGGCCATATTATTATTCTTTTTTCTTTGTTTTTCCTTTTTTTTTAATTTTGAATCCAAAAATCAAGGGGTCTTATGCCAATAGTATGGATGGGGAAGCACATGCTTTACACACCAGCATGATTCTGGTAAAGAATTCAGATTTCCTCATTGATGAAGGAAGATTTGGCCCGACCTTGCAAATCACGCCACGTGGCAGAAAACAAGTAGCTCGGCACTTAAAACAGCGTATCGAGGGTACAAACACCAAAGGGAAGAGACCAGCGGTCCGAACTCCCCACGAGGAGTCCAAACTCCCTATAAGGTGCCCGAACTCCCTACTTAGAGCTCGAACTCCCTACGAGGAGCCCGAACTCCCTACAAGGAGCTCGAACTCCCTACGAGGAGCCCGAACTCCCTACAAGGGACCCGAGCTCCCTACTTAGAGCTCGAACTCCCTACAAGGGGCCCAAACTCCCTACTTAGAGCTTGAACTCCCTACGAGGAGCCCGAACTCTCCCTATGAGGAGCCCGAACTCTCCCTTTGGCCCCAAGTCACACAAAGCAGAGACCCGAACTGGCCCGTTTTATGATAGTTCAAGACCCCCCCTAGTCTGAACTCAAGACTTCGCCTCATGCACCGCTCCAGGCACTTCGCTTCCAGAGCATTGAACTAGACGAACCATACCGTACCTGACACCGAAGGAGTCCGTATCCAGGGCGGCGCACCTGACTGACTTGGGATCTGACGCTTGACGGCCGTACTTCAAACGGCCACCTACCACCGTCACCTGTCACCGCCACCTTTAGTTGTAGAGACGGCTCCAACAAAAAGAGCAGTGACAGTTCTGCCCCAGCAGAGGCGATGACGCCCGAACTGGCAGAAGCACGGGAATAATCATTCCCGACCTGACAGGAGTCTAGGAGTGAGTGTGCGAGGTGGTTATAAAAGGCTCTCCACTCCCCCAAAGAGGAGGTATGCAAACTTTGTGCTATCTGGTTTTATCTTGCCTTTGAAGGATTCTAACTTAAGCTTCGGAGCCTTTACACTGGGTTCTCCCCGG